TGGTGGGGGGATAGACGAACATGATCGAACAACATAACCCGTTTATGTCGCGAAAAATACCTTATAATCTATCATAAATGTTTATGTTGGTTTATGCCGCGAAAAATACCTTATAGTACCAGACATGATACTTTACACTGATAGGCTGTAGCTACCGATGTCCGTTAAAAGAGGGTAACCGTGTTACCACACAGTGCAAAGAAGAATAGATGAAATGGCAAAAGATGTTGAAATATCATTATTTTATGAACACTTAAAGACGGCCAAATTTTCCATTCAACTCGATGATCATCTCTACCAAATAACGAAGCTCTTCTCCTCTTTTCATACGTTCGAGAAAAAATCTATCAAGTGTTTTCAAGAGAAAAAATCCCTATCTGCAATATTTTGCCAGCAGCTACTGATGGTGCTCCAGCAATGACAGGACGTCATAAGGGTCATTATTTAGTTGCAAAAAATTTGACTGAACGTCTGCATACGTCGCTCCATTAAGTTATTAGAGATATAAATAAGATGAGCAGCAATTCATTGAATGACAGATTATTTGGTCACCTTTGTTGCGAAAATGATGAAGATTACAATCGCTTACTGCTGCTCACAGAAGTACGTTGGCTCTCCAAAGGTGTTTGTGTGAATCGTTTTTTCAATCTATTTGACTCGGTTCTTGACTTTCTTAAACCTGATTCTATCAAAAAATGACATCGCATATTTTTATCTAGGTAGAGGTAAATACAAACAGACTATCAACAGTCTCTGCGAAACAGGAAGATTTACTTACCCTACGGGCCGCAGAGAGCCATGGCGGGCCCGGGGCAAAAACACTGGCAACGGCCCCTTATTAGGTTTGGCAGATTTGTGTTCTGTCCCCCTCTCGTCGGGCATGTACCTACTTACTTCAAACAGTTGGAGGTTCTTAATGTTGATTATGCAAACCGTTTCGTACCGAAGATTCATCAAATATGGAAGAGGATAACTCGTAGAACTTGCAACTAACGAAGAACTCAAAGTAAAACTCATGGATACCAGGAATTTTGCCTAAAAATCAATTACACCCTGGATTACGGGCACTAGTACAGAAGTTCTTAATCGCATTTCCTTCGTCCTATCTGGCTAAGCGTGAATTCAGTGCAGTAACTAATTTAAGGTGCGTTTTGCAAGCAGCGATTTTGGCGATGATCGTTGAGCGATAATCGTATAGTGATGATTGCGAATACTGGTAGATAATATTAAAAAAGTACGTTTTGCAATCAGCGACTCTTGCGATGGTCGCTTAGCGATCACCGCTGAGCACTGCTAGATGTTATTTTAAATACTTCCGTTTTCCTATGAGCGGTCATAACAATAATCGCTAGCGTCGATAGCGGATGTGTATTCGACCGATTATAAAAAAAGTTAATATTTAAATATCTCCTGGTTGAGGAAATATTAGATGAGGAATTGTTTCAAATGTGCACATAACCGAGAGCAATAAATCAACCCATATTTAAAGTTAGAAATGAAGAGGGATTTTTTCAAAAATTGATCTTTTAACATCTACGTAAAGACGGCAAGAAATTTTCTGAATTTTTCAGGCTTTCAATATCCCATTTCGTTTATATTATCAGCTTGATAAGAGATGACATCAAGAAGCTTTCTTGCATTAGAAATAAGTACCCACTTACACCTGATGAGAAACTAGCTATAACATTAAGGTTAGAAAATAATAGTATATTTTGAGACGAACATTTAATGATAGCTATTAAGACACGAATATGAGAATTATGACACGATTCTTGGCGAGTGTCGTAATTAATACGAGGGTCTTATTAGCCAATAAATGTGAGTTTCATACATTAATTTTTCTACTTGATGGTCATAATAATAAGGAAAAATAAGAATAAATATTCATTACAGTTAAAAAAACAATAACAAATAAAAACAAATTTAAACAAACTCAAAAGACACAAACAAATACAAACAAAACAAAAACAAAACAGACAAATAAACAAACACAAACAAAATACTAACCAATAAAACAAACACCAACAAAAACAAACAAAAACGAACAGAAACAAACAACAGGCAAAAAGAAGCAGAAACAAACAAAAAACAAACAAAAAACAAACAAAAAACAAACAAAAACAAACGAAAACAAACAAAAACAAACGAAAACAAACGAAATCAAACGAAAACAAACGAAATCAAACGAAAACAAACGAAAACAAATGAAAACAAACGAAAACAAACAAGTTTTAACGTCCAATGATGTACCTGCTCAAAACTTTTGAAGAGCTAAAATCCTTTAAAATGCATTTAAGGGTGAGATTACAGAACGTCTGCAACTTTGCAGATCTGCAAATATGGCGGCAACTTTAAAAATCTGCAAATATGACTGACTTACACATGCAAGTATCAAGTTTTCGTATTCCAAATTTGGGTTTAGTGTTGTTGGGGGTAATAAACCACAATAAATATTGCGAATTTGCAGATATTTTTTGGAATACTTGCATTTGTAAGTCCGCCATATTTAAAGATCTGCAAAATTGCAGATCTGCAAAGTTGCAGACGTTCTGTAATCTCACCCTAAATTAGTCGCAATTCTAGATAATTTCTCTTAAATACCCTCAAATGTTTTGTAATTTCCTGGATTCCCGCCAATTTCTCGTAAATTACCTCAAATGTCTCGTAAATTCCACAAAATACCCTTGCCTTATACACTTACTTTCACTGTAGTTTACTCCTTGGAATATTATTTCGTTGACTTTCCAATGTCAACCCATATATTGTCCTTTGCACGCTGATATTTGTACATAGCGTGTTGCGGGCCATAAATAGCAGGGTGTTTTGCCACAGCTTCAATAAGTTTTTCGTCTTCTAATGCTAAAAAGTTCAGCTTGGGCTTCACGATTTTATCCGACTTTATGCACATAAATGTTCTAAAACACATACAACAAAGAACACGTGCAGGAGAACCGTCTGCGTCATTGAGATAGAATTTTACACCCTTACGTTAAATATGTCAAACTCAAGATAGTGGAGCTAGCCAGTTTAAATGAAAATAGATGCCATTTTTATTAAATAGCTTCATTTAAATGATATGACATCATTTTCATTCAGTCAGTCTTCGAGTATAAAGTTCCACTCAAGTCGTCATTTTCATTACACTTTTCCGTCACTAGAAGTGCTTCCATCTGTCATATCGCAAAATAGTGTTGTCATCTCTACTTTATTCTATTTCGATGGCCTGCGTTGAATAATCGTTTACAACTGCGACCATATTTGCCCTAAGCTCGCGTCTTATTATTATCGCTCATAGGAAAACGGAAGTATGTAAAGATCGCCTAGCAGTAACCCGATATGATTGCTGTGCGATTATCGCCCAGCAATCATCGCCACAATCGCTGCTTGCAAAACGCACCTTTACTGTCAAAGAGGAATGGACTACACATCACTGAACATGGCGATCTGCGATTGATGTTAGCGAAATTGGAACCAGATATTAACAATTTGTTAAAACTCCACCAGCCTCAACCATCTCATTTTTTTTTACTTACTATTAATTTTATGTGTATCTCATTTTTTATTTCTTATTGATTTTGTGTTTGTTTTTAAAACTTTAATAAGCAATTTTATTGTACATTTGGTTGTCATTTTATTAATATCTACTTTATAATTCTTAATAGATAAATAAGGTGCCGATAATATGCAACAATATTTGAATAGTTCATATAAAAAATTACCACTTGTTTTTTATTTACTGTAAAAAGTAATTTTTTGTCACACCTTCTTTACATGTTTCGGAGGGGCGTTGGAATTTTCTTTTTCTTCTAAAGGGGGCGGCGTCCAGAACATCTGCTCCAGATATATGCATATTTTCAACAAAATCAAAATCCCAAATATTTTCTTCAAAAATTTTAATGAGAAAAACGAAATAAAATCACTCCACTACCAACGCCATTTTCTGTCCAAAATGTGGACATAAAATGGCCGAGACCCATTATTTGAGCGGGTGGCATCATCTATAGACGAGTTGCCAAAACAAGGAACATATTCACACAGAAATCTATTATCAACTACTCCTTGTTTTTGGAGTTGCCATTAGACGGTGAATCAAGTATAAAAATTTTTCGCCAACCGTCAGTAAAGCCATGCATTACCATAGCGATTTGCAGAAATGAATAAACACTTTATCTCTCTGTAAAAATCAGATATTTTATCTGCCGCCAATACTTATCAACATAGCCATGATCGTCTAGTATTTTTCCGTTTGTTTACTTTGTCATACTAAAATGTAATGTTATAATATCTCCTTTTTTATTAATTATAATTATTTACAGTTGGAGATTAAAGTTCGTATGGGCTACGTCAGCAAAGTGCCATTATCGAACTCGCCTAGTTCGATAAAGAATCACTTTGCTAACTTGGTTTTTAGGAACACAAACAGAAGATGAACAGGCTTTTCGCAGTTCTCCCACTTCGTACAAAGAATTAGACAGTGTTGCCGCGGAGCTAATCGAAGTTAACGCAATACATTAGCATAGAAAATTATTTTATAGATGCCAATAACAATTTCGCATATTCACGTAAATATATTAATAAATTGTCAATAGCTGATGAAATTTTGTAGAATTATGATATGGGATATTATACCAGTTTAAATAAGTATTTCTAGCCCATAAAAACATACGATTACACGGGTCCGTCGGAAACAATTTAAAATGATTGGTATTTTTATTTTACGACACTGCGACACTGGTACTCAAATAATGCCACGAAATTCTTAAAGTTGTTCAACGTTTACCACCTCTCCACCTACCAAAGATCTGTTCAACTTCTGACCCTTGTTTAGCGTCGAAACTTGGCGCACTAAAAAAACTGGGCATTATCCTCAAATTCATTATCGAAACAGGATATTGTTAAAGAGGCTTTTTTGATTGTTGTCATAATTTTTTTAAAAATGTGTCAGTAGTTAAATGCTTAAAAGAAACGAATAAAATAAAACTAACAAATTCAGAATATATCTCACTCCTCATTATTCATTTAATTTAATAATTTCCAAGATATAAAATAAAAATCAACAAATTAAAAACATGCACATTAGCGTACATAGTTCTTATGTACATATGATAATTTTAGAAAACAAAATATTTAAACATAATAAACTGTGACATTTCCAAAATTTTACATAAACAATAGTCAACTTTTCTAGAATTCTTTGAAATTTAGGAAACAACATTATTACAAACGCCTAGCCAAGAAAAACATTTCGATTTTTCTTATACGAGGTGTTTCAGAATTTGAGTGCCAACCTTCCATAATTCGCTTTAAGAGTATTGATATTGGAGAATTGTCAATTGACAGTGAAACTGTGCTTTATATTTTTAGTTTAGATTAAGAATGAACTGTTGCTCAATGTTTTCATTTCACTGATTGATAAAAAAAATATGATGTATATTGGTACTAAAAAATATACAAATATATATAAAATATATGTTCTGATTGACATTTGTGATGAATTTAGAAAGAATTCAGTGTGTAGTGTCAAATAATCTGTGTAGCGCTTATGTCAAAATTCAGTAAACAGTACAAAACGGCTGGACAATGGAAGAAATTTATATTATGAATAGTAATGATAATAAAAGTGAAGAATGGTAAAGGAAAACAAAATATAGTATAAAATGGAAATAAATAATTACTAAATCTCATTCTGGACTGTAAAACTAATAGAAGAAGAATCGCTGTTAATAAAACACTTAGAAGTAAATACTGGAAAACACACAGTTCTTAGTAAAAATTATATAATCAAGTGTGTAGAAAAACAATCTTTGAAAAAGTCTTACAGGACTATTCATTATAGGTCAATCGCCTTAACCTGACAGAATTGATGGACAAATATAGAAAAACAGTCAAAACTATACTCGGTCTGTTAATAGCTCAAACAATTTAAGAGTTTATTAGAAAAAGCCACAGATAACGAAACCGAATTACATATTCTTTCCCCAAAGAACTACTTATTAGCTGTTATACAGTGTAAGATGAAAGGATCTAGTTGCACTTTTAAAGTGGAATTAGGCCGGTCACCTGTCTGAAACAAATGGATGTGAGGAAATAGACCAAGTGAATGATGGTTTATAAAAGTAGGGAGCGACTCCTCTAATAGATTGACGGACGATATAAGGGTGTGTCCACATTGGATACAAGTGGCCCAACATCATGAAAGGTGTTAAAGGAAACCTCGTCCAGAAGTGGAAGAATGATTATATTTAAGTCATATATCAAACTGTAACTTATATTACAGAATATCTCTTGCTATACCTGACTGTCTTGTTTCCTTTATCGTTGTGTTACTAGTACCTGTTCTTTGGGAAACAGCTCAGAGGCTGATCTGCTAGCTGAGAAAGAGTTCCAAAGGATTTAAATGAATTCAAAACCCTATTGCGACATCAGAGAGCAGTTGTCAGAGCAACACAAAACAATGGATAGTTAACAAGTCTCAGGAATGATGGGATAACTCGCCAAAATAGAGACAAGCCAGGGAGTAGTGGGATTTCTAAATGGTGACACAATAAGGATTGGGTTCTACAGTCCTCCAGATTTGAACCTTGGAGATTGACTAGAGGGATATAATGATAGGTCAAAAGTTGAAAAGACCAGAGGTCTCACAGGACATAAGGCTTAACAAACAAAAAACCATCTACCTGGCAGAAGAGACTGTGCATATTCTGGTACGTGTGGTCTATTAAGACTGAGATTCCATCATTCAGCAAAACCAGCATTTGAAACGCTTTTTTAAGAGGTTGGTGTATTAGACTTGAAGACAAACAGCAGCTTTTGCTGGTTTAATATCCATCCATAGAAGAATACATTTTAAATATGTGTATCATTCGATTGACAAGTTATGCGGCAAATCACTTTATTCCACTTAAAATGTATGGCTGATTTGGTTTATAGGTAATAGTTACTATTAAGAATGGCATTTCAATTGCAGAAAGTAAAATAAAACATTTGCTACATAAATTACTTCCATATATATAACATTACACATTTCTCCTATATTTTTGAAAATTTACCTTGGATATCTACAAAAGTTTATCGATAATACAAAAAGTCCACAACACTCAAATCCTGGTCTACCCTGTATAAAATCCTTTGGGATTATTAAAAGAAATACCTTCTAAATAGAGAAAATACTATTATTAAACATGTCTGACATAAATGATGACGATTCTACTTCGATAAATTGCGGATTTGTTCCTTATTAAAATTTCAATTTCTATAGGTTCAATTTTTTATTAAAGCACAATAAGATCGCTGACCGTTTTACTAGCAGAATTTTATTCTGTTTCGAACTTGATCTGATCGACTCTGGGTCTTTTGATGTCGATATCAGCGTCTGCGTTCTCGCCGGCACTAGATGGGCTGCCAACGCTTTGTTCGTCTACGTGCCTCTTTAAATCTAATCCTACGTTGCTATAATTTCCGCTGCTGAAAAATAAAAAATATATATAAGGACAGGTACACGTACACAGGTTTGTTCTAACATATAAACTTTGTATCATCCTCTGTACGGTTACAGAAGTATTTGGATCAATTCAATGCGCAAGCGCTAATTTACTGCAGTTCCTGGACTGTACAAAAATACATTAGTTGAAACGAAAAGTTGATTAAACTGTTACGAGATTGTTTTGTATTCTAATTTTTCAAACCGTACTTTAGTTTGATGAGCACGATTACAAACGTAAAAGTTCCAAGATAAAAAACATGTAAGGGCACCAGATACGATAATCAGCTATCAGTTATAGACGTAGATTAATCAATCAAGCAACCAATCTATTATGTTTATTGTCAAAGCTACAACTTACAGACAAACACATGAATAAAAAATTTAAAAGAACGTTAAGTATAGAATTAAAATTTAATTACCATTATACAACAACAGTCACAACAATTTAAAAGTCATTGTAAAGTTCAGTCAAAGTATAATATGCTTTTGTCACCTAAATATTCCAAAGCAGTCTGTTAAATGCACATACTTTGATTTTCTTTTACTATACGGAGAATGGTCGCACTGCGCAGCTTTACGAGTGCCTTTTAAAAGGAGATAGAAAACTCCGCCATTTTGATCCCTTATTACGTGTTGCCTACATCTTGGCACAATATTTTTAATTCGCTCCGTGCGAAGTCATGGAAAGGGAAGCAAAAGCGATACTAGCGCTAGCTGCGGATAATTCGTGCATTTTAGGGCGATATTTTGTAATTTTGGCATATCAAATACACGTATACATGTATGTAGAAACAATACAATAAGCAACCGGAGTTGCTGTGTTGAAAATTGTACAAATACTAGCAAAAAAACAGTGAAACTTATATAAAAAATTTCAGTAGTAAAGTGGAAATTAAATCAAAGAAATAAATGGATAGATATACAATAAGAAGAAAAATTACCTTTATTTTTGTAATAATAACCGTAATGCTGCAAATAATAGACATCAGAAACTTGAAAGGTTTTAAATAAACAATAAATTATCATTTTACCATGTTCTTTAATATCCCTTATTCTTAAATGTTCATTTAGCAAGGACTAGATTTCAAGATTTCTGCCTTTGATTATTATATGTGGTTGGAACGCAATTTTGTAACTTACTGATGGGAAATCAGTTTTAATCATTCATTCTATGTTTTCTTTCGAACAAAAATGAAAATATAAGTGATGATCCTTTTTTTATACATTTTAACTTCACGCTATTATTAAATGGTATTTTTTTATTTTGACAGAATAGACTAATTCTTCAATGAAAACTTATTAGACTTAGGCAACTTCTCATACATTTTCCAGTAAATACTGTTGCCTGCCTATATTTTATTATTGATTTTTATCGATTATACATAATTTTCTTTAATTTAAGCGATAAAAATATATAATAATAATAAATTAATGTTTTACTTGTTTTACAAATCCATATACTTTTATTAAAACTACCATATACACTTTTTAATTACGAATTCTATTAAAAGTTGCATTTGTTACTGTACGCAGAAATAGTCCATTAGTATCAAAACAAATTGGCGCTGCTGTCGCGCACGGAGCGAATAGGTGCGTTTTAATCATCCGCTTCTGCTTCGGAATTGTCGGTTTTCTTGTTTTAATCTGACAGATTAAAACGACTAAACCGACAATTCCGGAAGCAGAAGCGGATGATTAAAACGCACCTGATATTTTGCTTGCTGCTGTCAGTGTTAGTGAATATTATTTTTGGAGTCACAGTTTATTGCTAAAGAATCAGTTAGCTCACTCGGACCAGTTGAAAGTTCCAAAATAACATCCACTCCAGGGAACAAATTCAGGATACGCAGAAGACTGGCGTTTTGTTATAGGCGGTTGTCATATTATATTGTATTATCCGAGTTGCGCAGTGTATAAACTGGAACATTGAGATCAAAAGTGCCGACGCAAAGTGAGCGATCTGATTCTTTAGCTATAAACTGTGGCATAGATATCAAAATGGCCGCGCCCTATGTTGGGCGTGTCCACATACTTTGATTTTATTTTACTATACGGAGAATGGTCGCACTGCGCAGCATTCTAAGTGCCTTTTAAAAGGAGATAGAAGACTCCGCCATTTTGAACCCTTATTACGTGTTGCCTACATCTTGGCGCAATATTTTTAATAGGTGCGTTTTAATCATCCGCTTCTGCTTCGGAATTGTCGGTTTTCTTGTTTTAATCTGAGAGGTTAGAACGACTAAACCGACAATTCCGGAAACAGTAGCGGATGATTAAAACGCACCTGATATGTTGCTTGCTGCTGTCAGTGTCAGTGAATATTATTTTTGGAGTCACAGTTTATTGCTAAAGAATCAGTTAGCTCACTCGGACCAGTTGAAAGTTCCAAAATAACATCCACTCCAGGGATACAAATTCAGGATACGCAGAAGACTGCTGTTTTATTATAGGCGGTTGTCATATATTGTATTATCTGAGTTGCGCAATGTATAAACTGAAACATTGAGATAAAAAGTGCCGACGCAAAGTGAGCGATCTGATTCTTTAGCCATAAACTGTGTCATAGAGTTCAAAATGGCCGCGCCCTATGTTGGACGTGTCGGACCTCTCGCTTGCCCCGTATAGTAATCAAAGTATGTGGGCGTGTCGGACCTCTGACTTGCACCATATAGTAATCAAAGTATGTGGTTAAATGTAATTGTTATGATGATTTTATATTATTTGGCAGTGTAATATACACTTTAATCCGATTATAAATGAAGAATATATGTCCATCATAATAATATTAAACTGAAAAATTATAAATAATATTACAAACTGTACTTAAACTAAAACAACTGCTAATGATGATTACATTTTTAAGGTAGTTAGTAGTTAATAAATCCATTAATTTTTAAAGACAGAAAATTAAAGCAAATTGTAAGAATGTAGGCTTTCACGGCCGGCTTCAATGTAATTATGTGTTTCTGACACAGAAACCACACCAAAACTTCTACGTTAATAAGGAACATCAAAACACCACATGCCCATCGAATTTTTGGCAGGATGGAAAAGCATTACTAAGGAAGAGAATCCATCAAACACGAAAAAAGTTATCAAGAAATGATGAACGACTGTTTAAACTACGTTTGCTAAGTCATCTACTAGAATGGAAAGATTGGGAAAAGATCGACAGAATAAGACGCGGTAGAATGGAATCAACCCTACAGTTATCCAAGACAAAAGAGAAAATTCAACAGAATCCTAACAAAACAATTCGAAGCTCCTAAGACAAATTTGAAACAGACTGTAATCAATCTCTCAAATCGGCCACTCACGGATGACGAAACAAGCTTCCTAGCTACAGGAAGAAATTTCAGCATAACCCCACAGACAATACCAACAGAAGAAATCATTGCCAATATAGAAACTGGAATTGAAAAACTACCGCTTGATGTCAAAGAAGAGGTACGCAGCGAGTCTGCAAGAATTCTGCGAAAAGCCAAACCACCAGAAGCAATATTTCAAGAGGCCAGAAGGCAGCTATAAAAAGTCCCAATGAGGATAGAAACATCATAACTCTACCCGCCGACAAAGGAAATGCAACAGTCGTCATGAACACATCGGAGTACAGGAGCAAGCTGAATGATCTGGTCAATCAAGACACATACAAGAAATTGTCGAAAGATCGAACACAGACGATTTTAAGAAAAACCACCAAATTAATAAAAGAGTTGTCACTACCACCGGAGACAAAGAAGAAAATCTGCACCATAGGGCTGTGTTCGATAAATGACTCTCGTAGTTAGAGTTTACTCTCCTATATAATAGGCTAGAGTTAAGCCGGGTTAAATATTTATCGAACGGTTTTGAGATAAGCTTTTGTCATTTGTCAGATGTCAGACGAACATAAAAATTCTTGATTTTAATATGGATTATATGACTCTAAAATTAAAAAAAAGGAAAGTTCTGTTAGTTGTAGCAAATAATTTATCAAACATTCTGTTTACGAGTAATAGAATGGATCACACCCTAACACATAATATTATAGGTAGAATCAAGACGAATTAAACGTCTCATCCTTAAATGGACACTTTTTTATTACCATCTTTTAAATTATAAATATTGATTCGTGCGATCCGTGTTCGTGTTACGTATTGCTTTTAGGAATTTTATCTCATTGCGCAAGTCGAGTAAAATCTACCTTGCTATTTTGTTGGAGTACGGATAGTTAACTCAATGTCCAAAACTTCGTCTTTTCGAACGCTTACTTAAGGAACCAAAATTGCTTACCCGATAATAATCGAACGGTAAAAGAGTAAAATGTACTTTGCGAGTTACTTATCGAACACAATCCTGAAGCTCTACCACCAAGACTATGTGAATTACCAAAAATTCACAAAGATATACCACTAAGACCAATATCAAGTACCATAGGATCACCAACTTACAACCTGGACAAACATCTGGCGGAAATTCTGCAAACACATATGGGCAAGACAAAAATCTACGTACGAGACACTACACACTTCATCGAACACTTAAAAGAGTATCAGCCTAACGACATCCTGTCAGCTTTGACATCATCTCTTTATTCACAAATGTGCCACTCGAAGAAGTAGTCAACTACATAGGAGAAATTTTCAGAGTTCATCAATATTTTCCGACACTCGCTCACAACATCATATTTTCAGTGGATTCAAACATTCTATGAACAAATTGAAAAACACCCAAAGCATTGGCTGAGGTATGTAGATAACACATTTATAATCTTGAGCCACGGGAGAGAAGACCTCCAGAATGTCCTAAATCATCTGAATAGTTTTCATCCTAATGTCCAGTTCACCACAGAAATAGAAGAAAACGGACAAATGTATTTCATAGATGTGTTAGACAGCCAAGAAGTCAGTAAACTGGGCCACAGAGTATACAGAAAGAAGACACACTGATCGATACCTACAATATGGATCCAACCTTCATCAAAAACAGAAGCGCACAGTTA